GGAATATACACTTTTCTATCTTTATATATAATCTTGTATTTCTAATTTTTTGTATGACACTAATAAATATGAAGTTTATATTCTTTTTTGTTCTTAGAATAAATTAGAATATTGTCTTAATAATAAAGAACAAAATCATCAAGAAATTCACAAAAAACATCATTTATGAAATGTTTAAAAGTAATTGGTGCATTAATAAGTTCAAAAGAGGTGATATTATATTCAAAATTTTCGTACCTAATTCGGAAAATATTCTTTCACTCATCTCTTTTTTTTAATGTAAAGTAAGTTGTATACTCTTCAAAAATCTATTTTTATATAGATCTTTACTTCATTGAATTGTTTAAGAAGTCTTGAAATCAAAGATAGGAAATACCTATTCTTAATGGTGATCTTGGTAAGTCCTCAATAGCCTATGCACATCCACAAAGATCCATCTTTTTTGTTCATAAATAAGATATGAGTTCTTACTAGAGATTTTCAATGGCATATGAAGTTTTTAGCCAAGTTCTTGTCAATGTATTCTTTTAATACAGCTAATTCATTTTACAATTAGTTGTAGATTAGTTTGAATGGTGGTTGAGTTCTTTCTTGTAGATCAATTGAACAATTATAGGATCAATACTCTAGAAGAATATTTAATTTTTTTTTCAAAAACATCCTTGAAATCTTCATACTTGTTAAGAATATCACTTAGCATCTTTTCACCATCAAAAATAGATGTGGTATATATAGCAAAGCATTAACTTCTTTTTTTATATGCATGAAAGCACTTATAGCTATTAATAAGTATTTAAATATACTCTGCTTATTTATTTCTACTTCATTATCAAAATTTTGGATTAAACTACAAAAAACATTAAGATTACAAGAAATCCAATCTATTTGAAGGTAATATTTTTTTGACCACAATAATCCTAAAATAATGGGATTGAAAAGAGATCTTATCATATTAATTATTATTATACTATTATGATCTTTAATTGCTACATCTAAAGAAATAATTTCATAAATAATACATCTAAAAGATAATAAATAATGTCATGATGTAACACAACTAATAAATAAAAGAGAGAAGAAAATATTATATTATAAAAGATCTTATTTTGAAACGTTATAGTAAGTTATCTTAAAAATATAGATAATAGTTGAAAAGATAGTAAAACTAAAGAATGCTACTACTGCCTCTTTTTTAAAATAGGCTTCTATTTACTTTGTAGGACCATAAATAAGTCAAAGAAAAATAGATTAGAAAATTAAATAATATAAGCATATGTAAGAAGGAGTTAAGAATAGATTTTAGAAAAAATTACATCAAGAAGCCAAGAATTGATACCTAGAGAGGACTAGTTGTCAACTTGGATTAAAATCAGACCTTGAGGCATAAAACCACACATGTATAAAGATTCTAAGGTTATTTGGTTGATTGGAGAGTGGAATTCAAAAGAAGACTTGAGAAGAGGATTTTAGGCATTAGTTTTATATCAATTGAATAAATATTGAGTTTTTGAAGGATTTTCAAAATTAGTAAGATTCTCAGTTAGTTTAGATTTGGAAAAATTAAAATATGTTTACAAATTTGAAAGTTTCTTGAGCTCTATGGTATATATATAGATAAATTTTGCAAAATGTGTTGGTGTGCTAGTTATAAATTTATGTACAAATTTTGAAGTCAATTGAATTGTTAGATCAAAATATATGAAGGTTTTTGTAGGTTGAGATCTCAAAAATTGGAGTTTAAAGGTTAGTGAGTATCTCTAAGATCTTTAGCGATTTGTAAATTGGATTGAAGTGAATTTTTTTTTATGGATATTAGACCTGCTTTTCAATACTTTAGATAAAATTTGAGAGTAATTTAATGGTTTAAGAAGGAAATATTGATATTGGAAGTGCAACATTCAGATTAGAGTAGGAAGCTACTAAATACCTGATTGGATTATCTTGCATTTCTCTTCATTGTTAAGTGCAATAGATTTTATCTTTTTTGTAATTATTTTTGAGTTGATATCAAGGACTTTCTTAAGATTTGGTTTAAAATTTGTCTAAGGTTTTTTTAGGATTTAGATTTTTATTAAAATTTCATTAGAATTTAATCTAAAATTTGATTAAAGTTTAATTAGAATTTCAATTAGGATTATATTAAGACTTTTATTTTTATTATTTCTTTAAGATTCTTTATTTTTTCTTTAAAGGTTTTTATTTTTAGTATTTTTTTCAAAATTATTATTATTTCTTTAAAGGTTTATTTTTATATTTTTTAAAGATTTTTTATTATTTTTCTTTGAAATTAATTTAGAACTTCTTTGTGTTTTTTTTATTATTTTAAATTTATTTTGGATTGATCAAAGTTTGATCAAGATTATTAAGGTTTAGTTAAGATTATTTAAAATTCTATTAAACTTGATAGGATTGTTCTTGCATTTCTACTTACCTTCCACAACTAGGCGCCTGATACATTCTCAAGCAAGAACACACATAATACAATAATGAACATGTATAACTTCTACATGTAAGAATTTAATTTGCTTAACTAAAAGGTGTTTCTTATTTTTTGACAAAGTCTTTATCTATAAAACATGCTGAAGTTCCTTAATTTAATAATACAAAGACTTTTTGATTTTTAGGTCCTAAATACACATCTATTATAAAAAAAGGTGGAGAATCTAAAGAGAAAATATGACCTTTACTAGGTACTATATGTGATTTTAGTCACATAGTTTCTATTATAGCTAGAAAAATTTGTTTGTTAATACATTGTCTTCTTTGGTAATCATAGTCCTCATTTTGTAATTCCATTGCTTCTTTGGATAATGTTGAGCAGTATTCTTAGCTTCTTCAAAATATAAGTACAAATCTTCTTCACGACGTTGAGTCTTTTCTTATTCAATGAAAGATTTAAAACATATTGTATCAATTTACATTGATTTTGGCCTTAATAAATATGTTTCTAAAAACTTGGAAGCTCTTATCATTACTTTGTTTATTTTTCTTCAACCAAACCTTTATTTTTGAGGCCTTTTAAACAATTCATTGTCACATGTAATGGCTCAAGCAATAAATTGTTTCAAAGATTTTGCTTTCAACATTGCCAATAAGAAATCTTTGTTGTTATTATTTAACCCATATCAAAATTAATTGATGAGGGCTTTGTCATTTCAATCCACATTATAAGTAAGGTTTTGGAATTCAATAACATATATGGTAGCTGATTGTAATCGTTGTTATAAAGATAAGACTTTGGTCTTTGCTACTCTTATTTAATTACTATCTCCAAATATAGTCATAAATACTTTTAAGAATGAATTCAAATCACAAAAGAATTGTGAATTCTTTTCCATTAACAATGCAAACCAAAAGAAAATACTTCTAGATAGAAGTGCACCTATGAATCTAACTTGAGTAAATCCATTAGGGTATTAGAAGAGATGCAATCTTAGATAGACATTGATTAGTTGCAAAAATCTTCAATATTTTCTTGTGCCACTCAAAAAGACTAAAAAATCACTAAAGAAGATAGTATATTAAACTAGAATGGCTATTGCCAAAGAGAATAAGATTAAAAGGTCTTGAAACAAGACTAAAGACAAAAAAGGTATTGATAAGAATAAAGAAGGCTTCATTTTTGCCTCCATATATATTCTTAACTAGGAACTACGTGGCATTGTCTTATAGAACCTCCAAAACATGTTGACTTTGCAAGACATGTATCTTAACTTGCAAGTTAAGTTTCTATATATGCACCACATATTATGCTTATTTTGTAAGCTATTAATAGGTAGTTAACTTGTTGACAAAGTTTCTAATCTATCAATCAATTACAAAGAAATATAAAGTCAAAGTAGCATCTTTAAAGCTTCTAAGAAGCTTTTCTAAAAAATATTATGAAATAAATCTACTTTTATCTATTTCTACTTAATCATATAGATAAATATTAGAATGAGAATATATATCTATAATAGATATGCAAGTTGATGGACTATAATAAAATTCTAGGACCTATAGATGCTTTGATCATATGCAAATATATATATATATATATATATATATATATATATTCTCTTAAAATGTCCAATTTGATAAAAGAAGTATTTGAAGTAATATATTTATTGAAACAAATAAGCATCTCAGTAATATCTTTTAAAACTAATTACATAATAAGAATAAAGTGTATAAAGTCAAAAAACAAATTCAATAATTACAAGTCATATAATGCTAACTAAAATTGAACTACGAATACTTCTTAAGTCTTTGGATTTATTGTGTCATCCTGAGAATTCACTATCGAGGTTGGAGATAAAAAAAAATAAGTAAGAATTTATTATCCGTTATCTAAAGAAGATAATTAGCATCTCCTACATATCAAGAACATTTTAATATGACTATTTAAAGATCCAAAAGAACAAAATTAGATATTTATTACAAATTGGATGGCTACTTGAAGGAGAATGTTCACAATTATTAGGCAATACTCGTAGAAGCACTTGTAGTATAAGTTGAGCCTACATCCTTCTAAAAAGCTTATTGTAAGTCATACAATTGATTTACTAGTTGTTTTAATATAAAAAGAGACACTTATAGTGCCTACAATCTCTAATTGAAGAATTGATGTAGGAATTATAGATAAATAGCAATTATAGGATGTAGTGGCTAGAATAGGTCTTTTGCAAATATTTCTTGAGAAAGAATTCCAAATAGATAGTCTTTTCTCAATTTAGCTAATGTAAGTCTTGAAGTGATAGTAGTGGTCTTTATTGACATTGAAAGATTTAAATTAGATTAAAATGTGAGGTGAAATCCTTGATTCAAAACCATTCAACAAGAACCTAAGAAAGAAAAGAAAGAAAAAAAAACAGAAAGAAGAGTAGGAAAGCAAAGAAAAGAAAAATAAATAAATAAATAAAAATAAAGAAAAGATGGAAGGAGAGCAAGAGCCTGCCCCCAAATTCCGGCAGCCTCCCTGCCGATAGGGTCGCCCCGGATTCTTCTTTCTGTTTTTTTTTTCAATTTTTTCTCTCTTCACGATTCAGGAGCTCCGGGCTCTCTGAAACTGTTTTTCTATCTTCTTCACATCGTGGGAGTGCAATGGTGCAACCTTTTGGATCTCGGTCGTTTTCTCTTTCTTTTCTTTCCGTAAGCATCAGGGGGCTTTGTTTTCTGTTTTTTGTTGTTCGTCGCATTACACTCATTTCGGTGTGGTGTTCAGAGGCTCGTTGAGCCCGGCAATTGTAGCGGCGCATTGTAATGTTGCGGTGCTGAAACGTCGTCGGTACTACTTGCTCGCAGTGGTTGGTCCAGGTTGTGCGTGCTGGTGTGACGCAACATTGGTACATTGCTCTAAGTGGCAGCGACTTTGACTTTAAGCTAGACATTTTTTGTACCATATTGGGCAATGGCTGTCGTGCAAAGAATCGGCAGCAGGGGTCTCGTACGTTGTGGGTGCATTGGGTGATCAGAGAAGAAGAGCTCCATAATTGGTTTTTCCTTATTGTAAAGCTCGAGTGATTCCAGCCTGGTTAGCGGTCCATTCCCTATCAACGAGGCATGAAGTGGATTCAATTAAAGGTTGAATGAGCGCATAGCATTGGCAGCGGTAGTATTGGCATTAAGGCAGTGTGGTGGCATGTGATGATTGCAGCACCATCATCGATTCGGTGGCTCTGGTGTGGTGTTTGGCGGTATCAAGCTGCATTGATTGTAGTGGTCGAGGCAGAGTTGATGATGATGGAAGACAGCTCAAGGTGGAGGCTTCCCGAATTCACCCTCAATTCCAGAAATTCAATGGAATCAAGTTAAGAGGTAGGAATCAATTAGGTTAAGATGCAATTAAATTAATATTTGGGCTGAATTATTTTGGATGATTTGTTAACTTGGATGAACTTAGATAGATATGGATGATAATTTATAAATGAATGTTGCTTAAAATTAGATGAATTCTTATTTATGGATGAGAAGTTATTTACGGATGAAAACTCATTCATAGATGGAAAATTCTCTAGAATGAATTTTGAGTTTTTTGGATGATAATTCATACAAGATTTTTTAAAAATAAAAAATAAAAAAATAAATCTATGGACTTAAATTAAATCATAGAAAAAATAGTCTTTCAATTGTGAATTTTTGTGAATGAATTGAGTGCATTATATTGGTATTGTTGTGAATTGTTTAAGTTGTGATATTGGTGTTTATGGTTGGTTGAGTGTGAATTTAATTGGCTAAATAGTTGAATTTGTTATAAAAAATTAGGAGGGAATTCTTTACAACCAACTCATATCTTAATTAAAAGTGGTAAGTTAGAATAAGTCATCACTAAGAGAGATTTATCTTAGTTCATGCTTAGAGGACTTCTTGGATACTTAATCAAAAGTAATGAGGAATTATTAAAAACTTAAAATACTTAAAATTATTGTGAACTATGATAGACTTCCAATAAGTAGGAGTTAATTTTACTTCCATATAGATGTGATATAGAGTTAATTTTACTTCCAAAATAGATGTGATATAAAGCAATCATATATGGGATCTATTTGATTTATCAATTGACTATAATCTAATCTCAATAAATTAGGTTTATATAAATAAAAAGAAACTTGATGATAGTATATTATGCAAGAAAGTTAGGTTGGTAGTACAAGAATTTGAACAAATAAAAGAAATTAATTTTGAAGAGACTTTTGCTTCAACACCACAATGAAAAATGATCTAAGAATTGATAATGATTGCAACATACAATGTATAAAAACTTAATTATATAGATGTATGGTTTGTTTTTTTAAAATAAAATAAAAAGAAAAATAAAAATTTATATACTAAAACTAAGAAGATAAGTTTAAATTAGTCAAGAATAAAAAGTGTGTTGTCTAAAGAAGGCCAAGTATGGCTTCAAGCAAGTTTTGCAACAATGGTATAAAAAAATTGATATATATCTTTTAAGTCAAGGTTTTTTTTTAAAAAAAAAAGCTAATAATAATCTATATCTATTGATTTATGATGAAAAAATTTTGATTTTTTTTATATTGATATTCTATTATTTTTAAGCAATTGTAAAGAGAAAGACTCTAGATCAAGACTCAATTAAAACAAAAATTTAAAATGAGTGATATGAAAGAACAAGGAATAATTATGTATCCCGAAGCCAAATTAATTTACTTACTAAGGGGTAGAATCTTTCTTATGCAAAGAAAATACATCTTTAAAATATTGTGGCAGTTTGGCCTATTAGAAGTTGTGTTTAGTACTACTTCAATAATTAAAGGACTTTGACTTCATAAAGACATCTCAAATGTGGCTCCTAGAACAATATTGAATTATAGATCTATTTTTGGTAAATTAAAGCATATCAATCAAATATAATATAATATAGAATATTTTATAAGAATCTTCAATCAATTTTTATTTGCCCTATAAAGATTATATTAGAAAGTAGCTAGAAGAATTTTATAATATTTTAAATATATATATTATTATTATATTTTATATAAAAAAAATATTCTTAATAGAACATATCAATATTAATCATACATCATATTTGGATGGAAAAAAAATTAGTTAAGAGATATATTTGTCTATCATGCTTAAATACTATTATGTAGAAATCAAAAAAATATAGATATATGGCTATACCACAAATATATATATTTATTTCAATAATTTCCTATATAATTAAATAGAAGTAAATAAAAATAGATTAATTTCATAATATCTTCTAAAAAAGCTTCTTAAAAGCTTTATATACATTGTTTTGACTTTACATGTATTTGTAGTTAATTAATAGGCTAAAAACTTAATCAACAAGTTAGAAACATGATACATGTATTAATAGCTTGTGGAATAAGTTAACTATGTGGCATACATATAGATAACTTATCTTATAAGTTAAGTCATATGTCTAAAAAAGTCAATATATATTGGAGGTCCTATAGAATATTGCCACATAGCTCTTAGTTAGAAAGTGTATATGGATGCAAGAGTGAAGCCTTCTTTACTTTTTTTAATACCTTTCTAGTCCTTAGTCTTGTTTCAAGCCTTTTTAGTCTCTTTATCTTTCGTAATAGCCATTCTAATTCAATATATTACCACCTTTGACTGATTTTTCAGTCTTTTTGAGTCACACAAGAGTATATTGAGATTTTTTTCTTTGAGATTCATATCGTTGAGAGTTTGACAAGAGTACTAATTAACTGTTCTTTTTTATTTTAGAAGTGAATGAATTACCTTACTACTATTGTTGTGTTTTGAAGATTATCGATTACCTACTTTTAAATAAATTGTGTAGTTTTTTAACATTGATTTTTTTCTTAAAGAGAGAAAATTATCATTCTTTGTAGAAATTTTCATTTGATATTAGAGGTTGTAGATTATCCTCTCCTAATTTGACTTATGGATTTGTGAAGTTGTTTGAAATAGAAAGAAAAATCATGGATGTTATACTTGATAGAAATAAAAATAGATTTATAACTATTGTAAATCTTCACAAACTTAATAACACTTTTAGAATGGAAATTTCACATATCACAAGCATCAACCATAGAAACACAAATCCTACACCTATGGAAGAAGTTTAGTATTTATGTCAAAAAATTATATAGTTGAAAGAAGCAAGTAGATCAACTTGACAACCAAATCTATAAAATTTTATTTCTACATGTATGATAGGGATAAAGATTAGTATACCTAAGAAGTTTTATGGAATAAGATCAAAATTTTGAATATGACTCTTTTATGATTTATATTCATTTTTAGAGGTATTTACAACTACATTTGTAGAAAGTAATCAAGAAAGAGTAGTAGCAATTAAGCTCTTATCTTTATGACAAAGATCATGATCAGCTACTGTATATGCTACTGAATTCTAAAATCTTGCTTATAATTTGGACTAAAATGAAAAAGCTCTTATTAATCAATTTTGATATGAATTGAAGGATAATGTCAAAGATTTGTTATTAACAATGCCAAAAGCAAAATCTTTGACAATTTATTGCTGAAGTGTAAATTATCAAATCGACTCACTAATTATTTTAGGATAAAAAGATAAATTTAAAGTACTTTGAACCACAATATATGGTGAATAGTATAAAAATCTTTAGACAAATAAAAAACTAGTATGTTTGTTGTAGAATTATAGTCTTAGTAAGTCTTAGAGGCAATTATTTTAGTTGATTTAATATTTTTTATTTATTATTGGGTATTAAGAGATATTTATTAAAATCAATATTTATATTAGACTTCTATTTATACATATTATTTATAAAAAAAATATAAATATTAATTAATAGGTAAAAGAAGTATGAGAAAGAACCTCATGTCTTTTTAGTTATTTATATAAAAAATATAATTTATAGTGGATTTAAATTAATTTTATTAGTATAAAGAATTATAAAGGAAAGAAATTATAACTTCAAGTTTATTCTAATATTATGAAAATATTATAAGATTTTTTGAAATTTATTTAGAATTAATTTAGAATTTTTTAGGAATTTTTAAAGAAATTTCGAAGATTTTAGTGAAAATGAATTTTTACCACTTTGGAAGCTATTATGAAGAAATGGAGTAAGATTTGAAGGCTACACAAGGTTTTTATGCTAATTGAGTATTTTTAAATACCATAGAATAGTCAAAAATATAATATTATTGATTTTATTAGTAGAAAATAAGAAGACCAGTAGCTAATATAGTCCTTGTAAAAAAAGAGAAGCACAAGTTCTACGTAGGTCGTAGCACCTTGAAGGTAGTTAGGAGGATAAGATTAAGGCCTTTTGGCCTTTTTTAGACACCTATATACACTACTTGTAAGCCTTAGTGAGGCTCAAACTCTTGATTTCTTAAGCAAGTTATCTTTGAGATAAAAATTATTTACTTAAGTTCTCATTTATTTACTTATTATTTACAAACCTTCATAACTTATTCACTGTAACTCAAATTTACATGTTTCTTATACCATTAAAAAGTTTTTAAAAAAATAAAATTAAAAAATAGTTTTTAATTTTAATTTTAATTTTTTATTATATAAAAACTTAATAAATAGACTATGATTAGTTTGTAGTGCACAATTGCTTGATTATATTTAATTCTCTTATTTTATATTTTGCCTTTTTAATCCTTATTCTTATTACTTTTACTTTATACCACCAATTATAAGCAACTCTTAAATAAGGCCATCTTGTAATTGAATTGAGGAGTAAATTTTACACTCACACAGAAGCTATTGCATACAATAATTGATTATTTGAAAGGCATTAAGAATAAAGTCTTAACTAGAGAGAAATAAGTCAAGTAATGATAACAACTTCCAAGTTTTCAAAAACTTATTCATCAAGGTTGGAACCATTGTAAATTAATCTTGTACATTTTAAATTTTTTACAAGGTAAAAAAAGAATCAATGTCATCAAAGAGGATTTTTGCTTATATTGTGGAAAAATTAAACATACTACTCAATATTATTTAAAGAAGAAATGTAAATACAAAATGAAGAGCATAATTGGCAAAGAAAATAATATGTTGAGAAACAAGTTTCTTCAGCTACAATAGGGACTGTGCAATTAGAATCATGTACAATACCTAATAAAGGTCCTATTTTCTTCCAAATTTCCACCTTCTTTTATAATAGATGTGTATTTAGGACCTAAAAATCACAAAGTCTTTGCATTATTAGAATCAATAGTCTCAATCTATCTTATAAACAAAACATTTGTCAAAAAATAAGAAATATGTTAGGTCAAGAAAATTAAATTCGTACATATAGAAGTCAAAGATGGTTGTTTGTTGTTTTTTGGAGATATTACTTATAAGGTTGTTCTTTTAGATGTAGCAATTAAAGATCATCACAGCATAATAATATTTAATATAATAAGATCTCCATCTAATTTGGTTATTTTAAAATTATTGTGATTAAAAATATATAATCTTCAAATAGATTAGATTTCTTTCA